AGCAGGAATAAGAGTGGGAGATCGGGATAAAGAGTAGGAATAAGAGCGAATTGGGGGTTAATTGGGGCTCTGGTGCAGGCAGACCCTTCTCCATCCCCGCAGCGTGGGCTGGCTGGCTGGGCTGGATATTTTTAGACGTCGCCTCCAGCCCAAACCACTCAGGGCTGAGATTTGTGGCAGCGTGGCCATGCTGGGGGTCCCTTCCCTGTCCCACGGTCCGAATTTGGGGACAGCCGAACCCACGGACCAGACGCCGCGGCGATGGGCTGGAGGAGCTCGGCGGGGAGGCGCAGGGATGACATGTGTTCCAACTCTTACGGAGCAAAAACCCGCAGCCGCCAGCGCTCCCCGGGGAGCTGGGGACAGCGTCGGGGTGGCCGCTGTCCCCCAAGGAGGTGGGAGCTGGAGGGCAGCCGAGGTTACGGAGGTACGGCCCCGCCGCAACGCCTGGGCTCCCCCCGTGCTGTCTGCCGCCAGCGTTAGCAAATAGTTGTGGGTTTGTGTCTCCTCTGCGCGGGGTAAAGCGCAGGGTAAGCTTGCGGGGCGAGAGATCGGTGGAGGAAAAATCCACCCGGGGTTCGGGAACGCTCCTTTCGCCGCTCTCGGGAGCGGGTTCCCCTCGGATGGCTCCAACCTCGGGATGCCTCGGCTGCCCCGTCCGCTCGCCTCCGGCTTTTCCCAGGGTGATGCTCAGCACGAGTGAACTTTGAAGCAGGATGAAGGATTCGTTGCTGGACTATCCTGCCTGCTTTCTCCCTGTTTAAGGTGAAAAAATCCTGAATTTATCCCTTTCGCCCTGCGAAAGTGGCTTTTTCCAGCTGCCTGGAGCTCGGGAAGGGATGTCCAGCCAAAGCACGAGGCGTCAGATGGACCCGGAGCCTGCAGCCACCCCAAACCTTTGGGAGATTCCCCTCTCAGCATCTCTGCCCCTTCTCCCCCCACCTTTAAGAGCTCTCCAGTGTCAGCAGGATATTCACGCGGGGACGGGACAGGTTGTCCTCCCTGCGTGATCTGAAGGTGAAGATAAATTGTGCATCACCACATCCAGCAGCCGGAGGGACCCACGGTCTCATGGCGTTGAATTTATTCTCCCCCTCCCACCTGATTTCCTGCTGGGGACATTTTTTCAGCTTGTCCCAGTGCCAATCAGCTGGGAATCGGTGAATCCCCTTGGGAGGTCCCCAGCCATGTCCTGGGGTGGTTTATCCCCCTGCAGCCGGGTCCTCGGGCGTCAGTGGAGGTGGTTGTGGCTGAGTCCCCTCCCCGGTTCGGCAGCGAGGTCTGTGGCTTGCCTGGGGTCAGCGCCCCGTGGACTTTCTCTCCCTTTTTCCCAGGAAAAGCCTTGCTGGGATCTCGTAGTCACGAGCAGCTGATGCTCAGCATCCTCACCCCGAGGCTCCCTCGATGATCTCAGCGCTGAAAATCCCCAAAGGGGAGGAGGCAAAAAAAAAAGAAAAACCCCAAACCATCATCTCAGAGCCAGGGAGAGGGGGGGAATTCCCTGAACCGGGCAGGATTGGGGTGGGGATGCTCGGGGGAGCCGGCGGGGTTTCGGTTGGGTAGGGTGGGACCCCGGGATGATGGTGAGCGAGGAGAGGGAGCGTTTCCAGCTCTCCTCCGCTTCCCTGAATGGGCGGCGACGCTCAAAAGTGAGAAAAGTCCCCGGTGCTCCCAACGTGGAATGTGTCCTTCCCCGGGACCCACGCTGACGCCGGAGACTGGCCGAGAGGTGAAGGGGAAGGGAAGAGCCGTGGCAGCCAAAGCTGCTGCTGGAGGGGGGGTTTTTGCTCCACTCACCCCCGGGGCTGGATGGTGTCCCCAGCTCCAGCACCCGCCCTTCAACCTTCAATGAAATGCTCCAGCGACACCCAGTGAACGTATTTCACGCCCCAAATTTCCTAAATTTCAAATTTGCTTTATCTTTAGCTGCTCTTTCCTTGCCTGACGGAGCGAGTCTGCCTCCGTGCTGCTCCGTACCGTCCCCCAGCGCGTCCCAGCGCCTGGTTTTTGGCAGGATTGCAGGATTGCATCCTCACCCGCCGGCTGTATCCCCGTGCGCCGCCCTCGGTGTCGGCCGCGGTTTTCCCCGCTGCCCTCGCGGTGTCTGGCGCAGAGGGCCAGCGTCTGTCTGGAAGCGGTGGGCAGATGGTATCTCAGCCTCCGCACGGACTTGGGGTCAGGGCAGCCCACAAACGCTGGTTGTGCCAGGAGCCTGTGGCTGGGCGGCTCCAGCGCAGGGGTTTTCGGGAGGAGATCGGGGCCGCAGGAGCCAGGATTGTGAGCAGAAGGTGCTGGTGCTGAGCCACTTCCCGGTCCTGTATTCGCCCAGGGAGGTGCTGGGCAACATCCATCCTTCCAGCAGGACACAGGAAATGAGTCGAATCCATTTTCCCCAGGATTTTATAAAGCAGGCGAGTTGCCATCCCTCATCCATCCATCCCTCATCCATCCATCCATCCCTTGTCCATCCATCCATCTGTCCATCCATCCATCCCTCATCCGTCCATCCATCCCTCATCCATCTATCCATCCCTCATCTACCCATCCATCCCTTGTCCGTCCATCCATCCCTCATCCATCCATCTCTCATCCATCCATCTGTCTGTCCATCCATCCATCTGTCCATCCATCCATCCCTCATCCGTCCATCCATCCCTCATCCATCTATCCATCCCTCATCTACCCATCCATCCCTTGTCCGTCCATCCATCCCTCATCCATCCATCTGTCCATCCATCCATTTGTCCATCCATCCATCCCTGTCCATCCGTCTGTCCATCCATCCCTCATCCATTCCTCATCCATCCATCCATCCATCCCTCATCCATGCCTTGTCCATCCATCCCTCATCCATCCATCCATCCCCCATCCATCCATCTATCTGTCTGCCCATCCCTCTCTCCATCCATCCATCTCTCATCCATCCATCCATCCCCCATCCATCCATCTATCTGTCTGCCCATCCCTCTCTCCATCCATCCATCTCTCATCCATCCATCCATCCCCCATCCATCCATCTATCTGTCTGCCCATCCCTCTCTCCATCCATCCATCTCTCATCCATCCATCCATCCCCCATCCATCCATCTATCTGTCTGCCCATCCCTCTCTCCATCCATCCATCTCTCATCCATCCATCCATCCATCCACCGGTCCGACCAACAAGCCATTCCTCCGGCCCGGCCGAGCAAAGCGCGTTCCAGGTTTGCTTCTCCCAGAAGGATTCCACTGGGAATGTGGACAACCTGTGGACCTGCCTGCGGATGCTCCTGTTCCCAAATCAAACGGGAGAAACTCCGCGTATCCCCCGCACCCGAAAAGCACCTGGGGGGGTTATCAACCCGTCGGGGGGAGTGGTGACCCAGGGCCGGGAGCAGGACAGGGTTAATGAAGGCTTAATAATTAGCAGCAAGGTGATGGGGGGGTCGCTGCGATCCCCGGTTGCTGACCCTTTCCCCTCCCCGCAGTCATCCTGACGGACGAGGAGGTTCAGCGGAAGCGCGAGATGATCCTGAAGCGCAAGGAGGAGGAAGCGCTGAAGGAGAGCCTGAAGCCCAAACTCTCGGAGGAGCAGCAGAAAGTCATCGACATCCTCCTGGAGGCTCATCGCAAAACCTACGACCCCACCTACGCTGACTTCACCAAGTTTCGGGTACGGCCGGGGCCACGCCAGCCCCGATTCTTCCCGGGCGCAGGACCGGGCGGTTCCCACCGGGATGCCCCAAACCCACGTCAGCCCAGGATGAGTGAAAGATCCCCGAGCAAAACCTCGGTGCTGTTGGGAGCAGGGGAATCATCTCCTCCCCCAGTCCCTTCCTTACGCGCTCCTCTCTCCTCCAGCCTCCAGTGAGGAGCAAACCCAGCAACAGGGGAGCAGCCAGGTCCTCCTCCATCCTCACCCAGGACTTGTCGTCGGAGGATTCCACCGACCTCTTCGGCTCCGACGCCTTCGGCACCTTTCCAGGTACGGCGCTCACCTCCCCGTGGGCGAGCGTTACCTAAACCTGGCCACTTAGAGCCTCGTTTTACCTCTGCTGGGGGGCTCATTTCACTATAAAACCCTCCTGGGGGTGTTGCGAAGGTTTTTTGCGAGCAAAAAAATATCACAAAGTTCTTGGCTGGACCGTGAGCGTGCAGATCTCCGAGCCCCCAGGATGGGCGAGAGGCGCGACCGCGGGCGCTGGGCTGCGTCGTGGCTGCGGTGGGAACCAGAGGATCAGGATGGGTAGGGCTGGGAAGGACCTGAGGGATCATCGTAGGCTCTGTCGCGGCACAGGAGAGGCGTTAAAGGTCCCGGCACAAAAAAAAATTGGGATGGGGTTAGCAGCCAGCTAAGGACTGAACCCGCTGTCCCAGCCCCTTTCCCCGTGTCCCGGCGTCTAACGGCGACGCGGAGCCCTCCCGGCAGGATGGACGCCGCTCCGCCGCGGGCTGGCACAGGTCCCCTCGCCCGTCACATCCAGCCGAGGGACCCCCTGACCGTCTCCCTCTCCGCAGAGCCCGTGGAGCCCCAGGTGTTTCCCAGCCTGGATCTCTCCGAGGAGCCCGACGAGAGCTCCTCCGTCAACCTCGACCTCTCCCACCTCTCCATGCTCCCGCACTTGGCCGACCTGGTCAGCTACAGCATCCAGAAGGTGATCGGCTTCGCCAAAATGATCCCGGGGTTCAGGTGAGACGTTCGCTCCCGCGTCCCCGTCTCCGTGGGGATGGTTTTTCCGCTCCCGGGAATCCCACCCTGCCCTTCCCAGACACGGTTCATTTTTTTTCTCTGTTTCATCTTCACAGCTGTCCCTCAGGCTCTCTTCCCTTCCCAGGTCTGTTCCTATTTTCACATTTTCTGTCTCTCCTCCTTCCCGGGGTTCCTCCTCTTCTATCTTGACCCTGATTCACCCAGATTCCATCAGAAAAAAAAAAAGCTCAAAGCCACGGGAGCCGTCCCCATCCTGGTTTCTGAAGGATTTCAGCTCCTCTTTGACTCCAGGCTGGTGCTGCCGCTCAATCGTCGCTGCAGAAATCCCTGCTGCTAAATTAAAAAAAAAAAAAAAATTGGGGGTGAGGGAGAAGCTGGGGTGTCCCCAGCAAAGGGACAAGAAGGGGCGGCGCGGGCTCTTCCCTTGTCAGCAGCTGGGTCTCACGTCCCCCCTTGCCCCCGCGCAGGGAGCTGGCAGCAGAGGACCAGATCGCCCTCCTGAAATCCAGCGCCATCGAGGTGATCATGCTGCGCTCCAACCAGTCCTTCACCCTGGAGGACATGACCTGGACCTGCGGCAGCAACGACTTCAAGTATCGCGTCAGCGACGTCACCCAGGGTAAAGGCTGCCGGCCGGGAAATGTCACCCCAGCCTTCCGTGCAGACGTGAAAATCCCACCCGGAGTAGTCTGGAAGCAGGGATGCGTTGGCAGAGATCCCCAGTGAGATCCCAGGGGAGAGAGTGATGCTGGATCCTCACCCCAAGGGCAGGGATCCCAGGGAACCAGGGG